TAGGATCCTACGAGTTATGTGCTTCTCTCACTACTTCAAATATTGGCTACATAAATTCTGACAATTGAAAGGTCATGATTCATTGGATGTCAAATATTCTTTATTATTCCTTATTTGCACATTCTCAAAATTCACAGTTCATCACATTTGTTATTGTTTCAGCCTCAAAATTAGTTCCATCTTTCATCCATCAATTAAAAATATTTCTAATATTTTTTCGTTTTTTCTGATTGTTTATAATTCCCTTCAGATATTATCTCTCTGTTTTAAATAGTAATAAACAACGTATCCTTCTTCACCTTACTTCAATCAAGGCTGCAGTTTCAACATCAGTGTGACTACGTACCAATCGGAAAATATATTGAATTAACTTCCTAAATTCTTAGTTCACTAGCACTAAAATTGCTAATTACAATTTTTCATGCATCATATATTGATATGGTTATATACAGTTCGTCAGCATTTGTTCCGCAATATGCTATAATAGACTATGAAAAGTTCACTCTTCAGAAACAGTTCTCAAAAAAAATTGAATTTGATAAAAAAATTACCATCAATTGCTATGAAATAAGTGACTCCCTTTCGTTCATAAAACTACAGAAACAAGTAATGAGCCAAATTTATCCAACAGAAGGACAGTGTGAGATAGATTGGAGATATATATTTTGAGCTCTTGTCCCAACTTTTATATTGGTCAAACGGGGAAAACATTTTAGAAAAGTGCTACAAAACATAGACACATTTTTTTGAAAGTTCAACATTTGCAAACCGTCTTCTGACTGAGAAACATATATTCACTCGCGACTCTCACGATCTCTAACTACAGTTAGAAATCATATTAGAGCTCTGAGAAGAATTTAAATATAATTAATTCTGTAAAATCACAAAAAAATAAGCCAAAGTGTGTGGGATTATTAGATATTCTGAAGAAAAATTTGAATAAATTATTTTGTAAATAGAACACAGAAAAAAAATTATATTTTTCATTGAAATTGTCGAATAATGATGATAGAGTTACCCAAAACTAAAATAAAGTCTAATCTCATATGAAACATTCCTAAAATTCATATTCTGCAAAATCTGCAAATAGTCAGTTACCTTTTTAGATTTTAATTGATATTAATTTCAAATCAAGCTGTATATTATTTAGATGGACCCAGGAGCGTTTTTAAGCCCTCATGATAGTCTTCTCAACTGAAGCAATGATGAAAAACTTCATCATAAAGACTTTTCCATGAGAACCTACATTCCTATATGAGCCAAAGTATCTCAAATGATTTTGTGGTAGGGTTTCATTAAAAATTCTGAAATCAAATGGAAACAGTTAAGCTCGACAATTAGGGAAAGAATGGATGATTCAATATATCATGTAATGAATATGTAGATTCTGATACTGCAATTTGATACAACAGAAAGTAAAATCGTGTAGAGATGGGCGATTTTTCAATTATGGATCTCTCTAGCCCCATGTCGATTAATAGCAGCTTTCACTTTCCGCTTTTCTTCATTTCTGTTGTATTTCGTTTCCCTTATCTGGCTGATTTGAATATTGCCGAGTGAGTTTATAGGCGTACAATAATTGCTCGCCCAACGTGCAGCTAATTCGTTTAGAATTATGAGCGATAAAACGAAAATAGTCTCCAATTGGACCGAGCTGTTGCTTTTAGAACCAGGTCAGCTGTGGAAAATAGATTTTTTTCTATTTTAGGAGTTTGAGTTTAAATGAAATCGATATCCGACAACAGGTATTCATTCGACTCACGAAGAACTGAACAAAAATAGACGGCAATTCGAATTTTCAAACAAACAATAACTTGGTGAAATTCCACTTCGAAATAATTCTTGAGTGGAATTATCAGATATTCTGAAGAAAAATATAGATGAATTATTTTACAAATAGGAAATAAATTTAGAAAAAATGATATTTTCCATTGAAATTGTCGAATAATGATGTTAGATTTACACAAAACAGTTGTATCGTCAACAGCCAACGCCTTTCGTGGTATTAGCCAGGGGGGTAGTTGTTTTCTGATAGATGTCAGTCCATCAACCTACAGTGTAGAGAGTTGAGACTGGCCAGAAAAAAATGTTTTTTCAGATGATTTGATTTATAGCCAGTCTTCAAGTATGCCCACTGACTGTATGTGAAAAATCATATCAAAAATTCCTAAAATTCATTATCTTTAGAATCTGCAAATTTTAGTCGGTTACCTTTTTGAGTTTTCAATTGCTATTACTTTAAAATCAAGCTGTACATTATTTAGATAGACCCAGAATCATTCTTAAGCCCAAATGCTGGTCTCCATAACTCCGTGCAGGAGTCACACGTTAAAAGATAAGACCTCGTTAGTCCTTGACTCGCACAAGTTTTGACTTTTGAGAGTTGTCATTCGTAGGGGGACGACAGCTGGTTAACGGAAAAAAAGAGAGAAGCAATGATGAAAAACTTCACAATAAAAAAGACTTTTCCAACATTTGCACCAATAAAGTGTCAATTAAATAAAACAAATCGTTGTTACTCATATCCAAAGAATAATAATAACCATAAGAAAAAATTAAAAACCTCTTTATCTGCTCATGATAAAATATACCAAGGAAATAGTGAATGACACTATTTAGTTTGGAGCGATACAGGATGATTAGTAAGTGATCATTAAATATTTCGACTATTTAAATTGACACACACAATTTGCATTTTTTTTTCTATCTAAAGGTTCACAGTTAATAAATCTACCAGAAGCAGCAGTCCTTTTTTCTCTGTATCACAGAATTCCTCTGCAATGTGAAAACGAATACGGATCTACAGGCCAGTACTGAGTCATCTCAACTGAAGGAAATGCAAGACTCGCGTGATACACATCATGACTAGTATAACGGATTTTCTATATATTCACTAGAGTGTTGAGTGTATTTGCATTTAGTTAAACTATCTCAGTTATATAGTTATATTTCAGATCCGCAATCGTGTGAAGAAAATATAGTAACATCTCTCCCTTAGAATATAAAGGGCGTTTTGAACTATCGTTTGAACTACCCATCCACATTTATGTATAATGTATCTACATATTTTCAGTATGCATGTATGTACGAAGTATGAATACCTTGTATAGTTTGTTTTAGCTAAGGCGCATGATTTGTAAATGAAATATCTAGCGAACGATTTGCTAATTAGGCAAACAATATCATTAAACATATAAAAAAAACCTTAAAATCTTCCTCTAGCCAAAACAACAAGAGGGGTAGTCGACAGCAGTCGAATATTGTATAATAACTAGGCAACATGTGTTTCCCAAATATTCGTTAGCAGTTGTTTCTGATAGCTTGCCTTGAAATTATTCTCACTGAATGGTATAATGAAATGATATTTCTGAATTGAAAACATAGTTTTTCGTTTTCAAAATTATTGATGAATCGACTATTTCTTCAGAAGCTATTCCAATTTTTTGCATACTAGTATTACTAGATTTTCATCTGTTCTTTCGTGCATCTGAATTTTAACGCCGAATTAAAAAAAAAAAGAAAAAGAATAGTCTACAACTGATTTCTAGATACCATTGAATCTTGACAAAGGCTTCATAACCGACATTAGATAATTCAGTGACAGAATATGCGTGTCTCATTTTTGAATATCGAGCCACTTCACTCTCATAGTTGGAATTTTCCTTGCAAACCTGAAGATGTTCAAAATGCAGATTGAGCCAAATCATAGTGTTTAGAATAGAATCGAATCATCTGTTTTTCCATTTGTATCGGACAATTGCCACGGACGCTGCCTTGATGAGTTGTTAAATTAGAATCTGCGAAATTTCAATTGGTTAAATCTATTGAAAACAGTCTTGGTATCTCCGAGAGACCGTAATTTTGTTCTAGTGTTGGTAAAGTGTTTTCAATAGATTCATTTTACGCCAGAGGTTCCATTACGAACTATCAAGTTCAATTGGTTACCGTTTTAAGTCCTCCACTGACATTAATTCAGAAGCAAGCTATTATTTTCCACAATATCATTTCTTTCTTTGAGTATGCCAGTTTGTATTTTTATTTGAGTATCAATGATTCTTAGGAGAGATACAGGGGCATTTTCTAGCCCAAATGGCAGTAATGGAAAGCTTCACAATAATACAATAAGACTTTGCTCACATTGTCACATATAAATTATTAACAAACTGAATCTCTCGCTGTATGCCCAACAATATAATCTATATCCAGCTAGTTGAAAATGAAATTATCACAAGTTTCTTGTTGTGTACATCGTCTTTTGTCGTGACAAAAATTATTAGAATTTTGAGATTTTCAAAAATATATCATTTTAATTTTCTCAATTCTATATGTGTTTAATTCATTCAAATGTATTCTAATGTGAATTTTACTGTAAATTGCAATTTTCAGAACAGAAAAAAACTGAGAGTAGATTTGTGGAAGTATATTCAATGTCGATTCAGAAACCTTATCATGAGTAAACTATGAAACACGAAAGAAAAATGTAAACTTCCATTTCATATTCAAGAAGCACCGATTCTTTGATAAACTCACCTAGAATAATAATATTAACTGTAGACCTAATACAAAAACTTTGATTGAACGGGATATGTTAAATTTTCCCAGAGACATTCCACAGCAATAACAACCTGTTTTTAACGGTTTTCTGCTATACCAATTACAAAAATATATTTTTATTTCATATGTTCAATGATAGTGTTCCCCAGTATGAACTTTGATAATTATATTTTATTGTCCTATTATCAAATCTTTTCACTTATCAGCACCTCTCAGCACATTGAATAAAAATTTCCAAAACCGAGTTTTGGAATTTTCCACCCAATTCTCTGGACTGTTAAATAAAAAGAAACAACAATCAGGAATGTGCTGATGGTGATCAAATATAAGACATTTATATGTTGAAGCACAGTAATATATACACTGCGAAGGATCGAATCCTTGTTGGTATAATCATATCAGCATTTTAAAAATGTTTCGATTAATACTAAGTAGTCAGTCAGTCTTCATACCCTACAAGTCGGGTATGCTTCTTCATTTCCGCCTCTTTGAAACTCCTCTGGGGTGATTATCCTCTTCTTCATTGAGGGGCGAATTGCGTTTTCAGCTTGGCTCTGTAACAATAGAAAAGCGAGTGTGAATTTTGCAATATTATAAATAATGATTTGTTAGAAGAATATCTTAGATTGATATATTATTTATCGAATTCATTTTATCAAAGAAAATGCATGTTTGCTCTCCTTGCTGATCATCTTCTCTTTTACGATTTTCAAAGCCTGCAGAGGATCTCCCCACGAGAGAAGAGGTATATATCATATAATTTTTCCTTTCTCTATGAATAGGTCCACACGATGCTCGAGAAACGGCAAAAATCAATAGATTGATTGGAACTATGGTCGAACTTTACCACGCGCATCAAATTTTCCAGGAACACCTGTCTCTGGGGAAAGCATGGATCGGCCAGCTTCCATAGCTGGTAAAAACTAGAAGTCACGTCAGCCTATCCCAATATTAGCGACGGAGTAGTTGAGATTCTGGGAGAGCGCCAGCGACGTGGTCGACGCCAAGTATAGCGCACTGCAGAGATGAATGAAAACGGGGTCGGGGGATGGGAAAATCGAAGCGGGAACGCCAGGCTCCTAGTGAATGAAATTTCCAACTTTTGCCAGCCTGCGCCATAATTGGATTTATATAATAAATAGTCTTCTGGGGGTGGAGAGATGGGCTAATGACTTCATGAATGTATTTCGGGTGCTGATTCCGGGACTAATAGGACTTACTGAAAATCCTTCGTGATATTGTGTTAGAAGGTAACTGTAACAATAATCTATCATCAGGTGCTATTATCCATAAAAATATGTTATCCAACAAATAAAAATTTGATTGATCGCTTTTGGAGCACTTGACTGCTTCATTCGTGAATAATCTTTCTAGCATAATGAACGTTTTGAATTGGTCAGCTTTCAAACAGAGCGCCAATATAATAATATGAGAAATATATGTTTTCGACATCTAACAACCAAGTTCTAAACCCATTTTTAACACGTTATGAGTAATAAATCCACTCTCAAAACTGCCATACTCATTAAAAAAACGACAGATACCCTCCTTAACTTGCTTGTTTGAAGAAAATCAACCTAGGCTTGAGAAAAACCAGCTCACCAGAAGCCTATTCATACAAACAGAAAATCTACAAGCACAGCTCCATCTCCTACTCAAAAAATTGTCAAAGCACTGAATATACACTGTTTCTTCATGAAAGAACCGATATACAGAAGTGGAAATGATTGACAATGTTTCACGATGAATTTCACTAGTTTGGACTTCCATTGTCTATTATTTATTATTATTCCATTATTCAAACAAGACTCAACCTCTAACGGAAGCAAGAAACTCTTTGGAAGGTTCGAAATAGATGAATATTTCAACCTAGTTCAAGCCAAGTTAGTTCACGACGTTTCGATTGTAAGTATCCACAATCGTCTTCGGGTCATCACCCGAAGACGATGTAGACAATGGAAGTCCGAACTAGTGAAATTCAGAAGTGAAAAGCTAGGTAAAATCATTAAAGCACTTTGAAAAACTACTTTTCAATCGTAAAATATTATAAATCAGGGTAAATAAATAAAGGCCACATGCATATAGTCATAGTCTCCTAATTCAGAATATTGATCGCATCACACTTTCTCGCTGCATTAACCTCATTTTGAGTTCAAGCCCGAAAATAGCGAAACAAAGTTAATTTTGATGTTACGAAACAGATAGCTGAAATAAGCCAAGGAAGTGATTTATCGGCGAAAAATTGAGAAAATCACTCCATTTATGATCAACAAATCCATTAACCAGTAAGCAGCATTAAGCAAACTTGAATCAGTAATACAAATCTTCCCCATAACCTACACGTTTTTCGTACTACAAAAACAACTAAAATGATTTGAATATCAGTTAGCACGTGTTTCTCAGAAATTAAGTTTGTAATAATGAATATACACATTTTTACATAGAAATTTCCTATCAAACAAGTTTTTTCCAAGTTTCTGTCCTTGGGTCACTAACTTCAACCAAGTTTTTCTCTTATCAAATAAACATTTCTTGTATCATCCATTGCGGCAGAGCTTATTACAAGTGGTGTCAGGTGTGAGGTATTTTAAACGAGTTCTTCAGTCCTCGAAGTTTTGAAGTTTCTCACGGCTTCAATTTTCTGTATTCAACTCGGGCTGCTATATCTATTTGTATTTTAGATTTTGTTGACATAAAAAGTATCTTGTAATGGACATTCTACCCTCTCAGGTTACAACTATAAACTCTACTCAAAAAGACAAAATATTGTCTATTCCGTTTTCATATATTGGACAAATTCCAGCAATTACCAATTTCATTTTTAGAGTCAGCGAACATTGGCAGTGAGTTGAAAAACTCCAACAGTCATATAAAATACTTGGAAACAGTCTTCTAATACCAAAATCAGCTTTCTTCGGAAATAAAAATAATAATAATAATACACACATTTTCGAAAGTATCTGTGTCGAATATCTTGGAATAATGATTGATAGACATCTAAAACGGAAGCGTCAAATAAATTATATTGTAAAAAAATAAGAAACTTTCCACAATTTAATTTTTCGAAACGATTTTCAAACATACAAGTACTTGAGATTCTTTATTTTTCTTTGCTATAATCTCAATGAGTTATGAATTATAGAATTTTACGCTGGGGTATTGTAAAAAATACATTTGAAAGAATTTAAAATTATACAAAAAAGATTTTTGAAAATAATGTATAATGAAGATTGAGAATATTCAACTGAATTATTATTTAAATAGGGTAGAAAATGAAAATAAAGCAATTTTATATTTATAGAATAATGATTCCTTTTTTTAAAAATGAACCAAACATCAAATTTAATGATCTTACATATGACACTCGATATTTAACTGAAATAACTTGCAAAACGATAAAATTATTGATAAAATTTACCAGAGAAATTTACGAGTATGATGAAATACCAGATGATTTGAAAAAAAGTAAATCATTATATATCTTTGAAGAAACTGAGAGTTGGAGGACTGACTCTTGTGAAAAAAATTGTATGATCTTCTAATCAATCAAATTAATTTTTTTTAAATGAATATAGAATATCTGTGTGAATTCAAAGTTTACAAATGTTTTTAATTAAAGAATGTGCTAATTTTTATTTTTAGAAAACCTTTCAAGTTCTATGCGTAAGGTCCATATCTTAGTTTATTCATAATGAGATATGCATTATAAAATGTTTTGAAACTTATCTATGGATAAACTTATATTATATTATTATCATTATTGACGAGCAGGCCAGTAGTCGGTTCGGTAGGGTAGTGGTTTGCTCCACTCATCCAATCAACAGCTAGGTAAAACGGTGGTTCGAGCTCAAACCGGGCTATGAGTCGCACGTTGAAAAGTTAGACCTCGTTAATTATTATCTTGTACACGTTTCAACTTTGGAGGGTTGATAAATAGATTTCAACAGATTGAATTCATGAATTATATTCATTGTCACGAATTTTACTCTGAAATACTCCTGTGAAACTGTTAATCACTGAAATGAAGTACTCGTCAGTGCTCTTGGTTGTCAGGAATCACCATTATTCCACTCAGTTCATGGTGCACCTTTACCCCCGAATTCTTTTTAAGAAAATCCGATAGAACAAAACAGTCAGATTATTTATTCATACAGACCGTACAAGATAACATTGGTCCTTCGGGCTGGATACTTTCGTATTTAATGAAGAGATGCACGTCAACTGTTTCCTCGAAACAATTTGAAACATAGAGCTTTGGTGGAAATAATCCTCGTACGTGATGACATATATGGTGTAGTTTACCTTCCCTAGAGACGTGGGATTCTAGGAAAGTGTTCGTATTCAGCAGAACGCAGCAAAGTCATTTCCAGATATAGTGGGAAAGTTATTCCTAGATATATATGTTGCCAAATGGTGAAATAGAAACGAATCCCTTTAAATGTTGAATGCATTATTTCATTCCTCTTTTTCAAGTATTCAAATAATTTTTTAAAGAAAAAGGTTGAAATGTTCAAAATGCGATGTTTTAGAGCTCTTTTATGAAAACTACTTGATTATCGTCAGGAGGAACATTCCCCATTACATTGCCATTTTCATAAAATCTGAACCATTTTTTCAAATATGCCGCACCGTTTTCGATAAAATTTTATTGTGTTGCAGAATATTTGGTAAGACCTGTAACGATCAGGAAGTGAAGCATTCACATAGAACGTGTCATAGAAGTTACTCTCTGAACTCGAGAGTTGATTAGAATATTTTTAAAATTTTCGAAATAGGCACATCAGTAGTTTTCTAGGCCGTTCTGTCCAATATACTGAGAATTAAATATATTCCTAATAATCCCAAATATTTTATGAAAATCAACATCGAAGCAGTAGAAATCATTCCATGACTCTCCGAAACTTCTCGGAACCTCTCCTGGAAATAGCTTCATTGAGGAGTTCACCCGGCATTTCCAACCACGCCCACCCATCCCGCTACGTAGGCAGCTTTCCCTAACACCCTGTTGAGTCTTCGCTTGTTGATACAAACTTTCCTACAAGCGTAGGAAAGAGGCAATCGAGGCCTCAACGATCCAAAACGCCCACGCATTGTCGTATTTCAATGAATAAGCTCTTCTGAACTCTGACCTTTTACGTTGGCTTCACCTGGATAGAAGTTCCTGGAACGGGGCTCAACGCGGGATCGAGATTGCGTTGACAAATATTGCAACATTGATTTTCACGGGCTCGAAATGTCCGCAATAGAATGTTTTTGTAGGAAAATACCTCCAAGTATCGTGCGATAGTCATGGAATTTGACATGCATGCACAAAGTGTGCGCATAGCAGTTGCAGAAGAAACTTCAGGCCGAAAATCAACGGACCATGGCTAATAAACCTGACATCAGCTATTTATTGACCCTGTCCTAGATGTACATCAAAACATGTTCATAGATCACATGATACTCAGGGTATTGAAGAAACCAAAAATGACATCAAGACTGGTCTGGGAATGCCAGATTCTATATTGATTAAGATTTATTCATTCTTCAGATTGTGGAAGTTCAAAAAATTCCAGATAAACAACGACTCGTTCACTAAAATATCTTTCAAACAATATTCAATTGGGTGCTTTTAAATATCCATAAAGATGAAACATTCACGAATTTGTGTATAAACCATAGGCTTCAGTCTGCAACTTCAAGTCTATAAAAGTAGCTGCAATAAGTGCGTTTAGTTTTCATTAATCTGATTCATACTTTCTTTTTTTCTCCATTTGGTCGATGTAATTTCATTAAGAAGGACAATCAATTAGAGTTCTTGTAAAAAATATCAAATACAAATTGAATTAGAAGAGGTCTATATCTTGAAAACTCTCATAGAAATTTATGTTGTGGTTACTAATCAGAAATTTTCAAATGATGTTCAGGTACCTAAGAATTACCTTACATATCAATCGTGGCGTTTTATATTCATAACATAAAAAATATTCTTCAGTATTGGATTTTATGAAATGAAAATGTCTTTTAATGTACATTTTGAATCGCTGAAGCAGAAATGTAACTATGGTTAAAGACAAAGTACACTTTACATTTCCTATTCTAACCTAAAGCAAATTATAAATAGAAAAGCAAAGTGTAATAACCAGATCAACTCCCAGAATCTTATCGTGTTTTTTACACAGTTATGATTCTGAGTAGACAACAAAGCGCACTTAATAGATGGAATAAATGAAAATCGCTTACATTTTCCATGCTCTTCTCCATATCAAGCAGACGTTTGATCGTATCGTAAACAGATGGCGTACGTTTCCTCTCACCATCATTGGCCATCATCGCCAGGACCGGGCCTGCAAAAGGGTTTCTCACAGGAGTGGCAGGTCTCATTTGAAACTCTTCCTTCTGGCCCCTGGACTCCCTTTCCGGAGCACCTGTGGTTGTAGTAGACGGTGATTTGGTAGTGCCAACCTTGATGACAGGCTTCCTGTCGTAATACACCAGAACGTCTTCAGGGGAGAAAGGAATATCATTCGAATTGACGTTGGACCGTTTCTCTTCCTGTTTCTGTTTTCTTTGTCTGTTCCTCCTCTGCTTCTTCTCCTGATTTCTCTGCGTCCAGTGGTTGTCGCTGCCCTTGCTGTCCCTGTTTCTGTACTGATCTTTTCTGTTGGCTTTCTGTAGCTGTTTCAATTCCTTTACAGCCTCGTCATCAGCAACACGAGTAGGTTGTTGGTTCACGTCATCCAATTCAGTAGGCACCTTGGAGTAATCTTCGTCGTAGTCTCCGTACACGTCTGCAGGCGCTTTTTTGCCGTTTTCCAGAGAGTCCTGGTACATTTGAGTCATAATGAGATTCTGCAGGAAAGCTGCGTTGATATCGTCAACGCTGGCTTCATCCCCAAAGTTGTCCCCGTCATTTTCATAGTAGGACTCATGCCCTATCGGTTGCGTCTCCTCTCTTTCCTCTCTCTCGGCTTCTTGCAATAGTTCGTCTTGCACGTCGACTACAGGGTCGCTGTAGTCGTAGTAACCGCTGTACGCTTGCCTCGGTAGAGGGACATCTTGGTAGTAGTAAGGTAGAACTGCTTGGTAAATTTCGTACTTTGACGTCCTAGCTGGGGCATAGTACATGGGGTACGACTCCTGCTGCGGATAGTAGTAGCTCTCTGGGTACGTTTGCGTGTAGGGATCGAGCTTGTAGTAGCCTACGGGATATCTATGTACGTTTTGATAGGTGTAGGGATCGTAAGACGCCACTCTGTGTTGGGCTTGAGCCGAGCGACCATACCTTTTTGTACCGTAGATGGGGTTCGGATAAGAAAGGGTGTTTGTTGTTTGGAATGCTAGTATGACTTGAAGTAAGGGCAATATAAGAAGAGGTACCTGAAATTAAAAAAAAATTAAGTCAGGGCTCTTGGGCTGACAATGTTTTTGAGAAAAGGGAGATTTGTAATATTTATATGTTGACACAACTCAGATAATACAACAAAAACACTTCTCCCGCACGTTGTTGTGTGAAAGAAGTGTTTTCGTACACACTACGTCTGATGTTCTAATTCTACCTTTCAGAAAACTCAAAGAAATAATGAACATCATAAAAAAATATTTTCAATATCTCACAAAGGCCAATATTCATTTAGTATCTTCGTTTGAAAACTTTCCAGGCTTTTTATTTTCGAAATTAATTAAATAGAAATTAAATTTGAAATATCCGAAAGATAGATAAAAATATAAGTGGCATATTTTTCATGAATCACTTGTAAAGAAACATTATTGTAAAGTCCACTCCTGGTTAACAAAACACCATGTCAAGCTTTTATCTATATAGACGATCAGCAAATTTTCAACAGTAACTTTTGGGAGGTATTTTTCACCATTGATAAAATTTGAACATGAGCATCTCGTATTAAAGTAACATTTATTGTGAGATTTTTAATGTAATAGTTTAGAAAACCGCAACACGTGTTTTACTATAATGTAGCTTCTTCAGAAGTGTTCATACTATATGAACATGTTTGAAGAATCGAAAACGTCTTGAGAAGTTTATTACACAACTACGTCGTTCTAAAGAGTATACGTTCAAGATAACTTTGAGTCGAATCAAGTGGGCCTAGTTAGGCGAACACTTAAATTATTTGAGGAAAAACGATATTTCTTCGATATTCCAGGCATCCATATGTGACCAATATTTCAAAAAGTCTAATTCCAGATTTATAAAGCATTAAAATGTACAGAAGTGTGTACAACTTTTTGTTCGAAATAGCATTCCAAGTTTCTGGAAAGCTGACTTTGCCATTCCAGTAATTTTATTGTGTCAGGAGACATTCGAATCCAATCTGACACCCAATAAGTTGATGGAGGTTACTGGCGGTTACTGAGGACTGGCCATTGAATTCTACTTGGTTTCTGGCACCCTGGCCAAAATTCCTCCAGATTTCATGAAACCTGTTGTTTTCTACAAAGATCTACATTGGTAGCTGATATTCAGACTTCCTGATGGATTTGTGGTCTTTTCTAATAAAAAAAGGGTTGGAGACAATATGGATGCCTGCCGTTGTTGGTATCCGAGAGAAACCTATTGATGGTTACTTTTAAGGAACGTTCTGTAAGAAAATTGGAAAGCCACGAACAAAGTCAATCTTACAAGTGACAACATCGAAGTTCATACAATAGACTCTTATGCCAAATAAGGTCGAAGTTCTGGAATTTCGATATCGAAATCGAATTCAACAGCCAAAGATTATCTGTGTTTCTCTATAGTTAATTTGCAATATTTTCCTTGCCATTCCTCTGCATACGTTGAACTCGTGCATTCTTCAAATGAGAAGGAAACAGCCTTCAGTTTTCCACTTCTCCATCATCAAACGAAAAATATATTGAATTTTCGGAGAAAGGAATATCTGAATCAATTCAAATAGAAACACTACAAAGATGTGTAAAGGTCATGCATAAGTCTCTTTCAGATATAATATGAAAGCAAAAATCCCACCAGAAATAACTACTTTCAAAACATGAACATTGAATTACTTGTCACTCTTTTATAATTCCTGAATCATCTAATTTCCCCACTTGAGTACGAATATCAAAAAGCAGAAGCAACACCTCGAGATAATTTTCCTTCGAGAAAAATATCTGCCAAGTTGCGAGACCCTCTAAAAAAACGTAATCACACTTTCATTCAGAGCATGATCACGCCCTCTCCGCATGCCTGGTTCCAACCCCGGGCACTGCTCCAGTTCTCTCGCCCACGGCATCCTCCACAGCCACCTCGATATTGTCGTCACACTGACGTCAAACACTCGAACGATAAATCAAAACTTATTTGCCTACAAAGCCGATAAATTTGCTTATAAATGATGGATACGCAGAGAGTATGTCGCATATTCTAGAGGATACGGGGTTTTCGGGATTTATGAATGATTAAAGAAAAAACGGTACTTTAGTTTGGCTTATATGATAACCCAACTTATCGAATACTCATCTCTATAATTATTTCCCTTATTTCTAAATGTACACTCAGTGATTCATGGTGATAGAAAATCATTAAGTACAACAATAGGACAAATAGGACATGAAGAAATTGAAGAAGACAGATGGAAATAGAGCCCAAAAACAAGGAACAAAACAAAGATAGTAAGAACAAAAACTTATAATACTTCACTATCTTGAGAAGCGTCCGAAAATCAGGAAAAGTGAACACCAATATTAGCAATGAAGAAAGAAATGGCAGCCAATGTTTTCCTTGGTTTCCGGGTTTTGCCGTGGTGTTTTCTGGTTATAATCTTCAAACGTTTCAACTGCAACTGCGGCAGTCATTGCGGCAGTCTGTTGAACAGAAAGGAAGAGAGAACATATCTACTAAAGTTCTGGCACACAGCCCTGAAGAAGTCAAGAAGAGTACTTTGACCACGCCACTGAAGATGACTGCTGAAGTTGCAGTTGAAACGTTTGGAGGTAATAACCAAAGAAGGTCATGGCCAAACCAGGAAACCAACCAAAACATTGACGTCAGTCGTGAAAGCCTACATTCCTATAAATGGCAGCCAACTTTGGTAGATGACATTACCGCCGTTCAAAATTCCGCCAACAGTCACCCCTGATGACATAAGGCGAAGTAAGTGAGTAAAGCTCACCAACAAGGATTTTGCTAAGATGGTGGTCGATTGCCTGAAAAACGAGAAGCTTATATCCGGAGTGGGAATCAGTGAGAGAGTCTCTTGAATTTCTTCTCCGTTTCACTCCGTGATGATCTGAAGGTACAGATTCGACACGTTCTGGATACTGCTTATATGTTAGGAGCTTGGACGATTGACCACAGCTTACTGATGAACCGAAGAATAATATTGAGATTGGTTTGGGAATATCGTGTCGAACTGAACAAACTGGCGAACAGGAACTGATTAACTTTATGTTGTGTGCCTATCGGGAACAAAGGATAACAATAAGGCTAATGAATGTGGAAGCACGGAACATCAACACCATATAAAACTCAAGACCAGCTGTAGTTTTCAAATTCGTTAGAATCATGCTAAAATATACCTGTGGAACCTTTTTAATGAAATTGTCTAAGAAAATAACCGAAGAACAACAGAACAGAGATGGGCTCAAAATAAGTAAAAGACTAATTAATAGAGCAATGAACATATAGAAACACTGGGTTACAGGAATTAGTCAATTTATAGACCCCCTAGAATAAGACCGGAAAAATATGGCAAATATCCAACAGAGCACCTGTGAATTAATACTGAACCAATTGATGTTTAATCGTGTTGTGGACTATTGTACCAATCGACACACCAATCGACCAATGACAATATAAGGACAATGTCCACTTCCGGAATAATTGTTCTGCAAGAATCTACAACGAACAAGATGAAATCGCAAAAGTGCAGATGCTCTCAAGTAATATAGAAAAAAGTATCAAAAATAGATTGACAGATATCAGCTATGGGAAATGCTGCATTTTGTGGGGGGGTTAATGAATCATTATATGGAAGTATTTCCTAGAACTACTTTGAAGTGAAATAGATTGTGCTTGAAGTGTGATTAAAATCTTGAAAATACTTAATTTGTGTTCTAAAAGGATGATATTGTCCACAATTTTGATTCTTATGCGCAAGGGATACGATAAGGAAGGGACTGGAACTCAAAATGTGTGTTTTAACTCCACTCTACTCTGAGGTGGGGACAAGTCAGTCGATTCCACTTTCACATTATAAGTATGGATGTCCTAGTACTGCAAAAGTAAATACTACAACATATTTCATAATCAGATGACACCGGAGCCCAAAAACAAAGCAGACGGCGTTGTTTCGTCCTGCCATAGGTTTCCTTAGTGATACTAGGCTGAGCCACAAATGCGTTGTTTAGAGTAAGCATGGGTATCTTCCCTTTCGAAGACGCCATCTATGAGATTTATAGAAAACTAAAACCATGCATATCCAATATGCCGCGATTACTTATGTTTCATGTTATTTTGTGCAAATTTCAGTTTTGACATGTACTTCATTTTGTTAAGATATATTGTTACACTCATGATCCATTTTTTGTTTCATTTGAAATTACCTATGTAAATCTAAACTGTTTGTAAGGTTGTTGTTAGTGGTGAAGACTTATGCGATATAAAATGCACTTTGGAGTACAGTGCAAAGTGCACAAAAGTGAGTTTGACACTTCATCGTTTCAAATACTCCTACCAAGTTTTCAAAAGTCAACATACGGTTTGTTCAATTTGCAAATAGGTACACAGTATTGAACATTTTTGTCGTAATAGGTCAATAGTAAATAGCACACTTTCGACAAACTACCTCACAATCTTGTACTGAATCGTTATTATTTTGATACAGTGTGTCTCAAATTAGGAACAAGATCCAATACTTCTTTTTCAAAAAAAAACCTAACGCTACACATTTATTTACAATTATTGAAGGAATTTATATTTCAAATAACTTTTTTGAGTAATGTTTACTAAGTCGCTCTAATAAGTTTCTCATTTTTTGTTCGACAATTGCAAAATAGGTTGTCTTGATTTCTTTAAATGTATTATCTCATACTGCAAAACAGAAATCACAAATCCAATTGAGAAATGCCGTAAAACAAAATTGAGTTTTGTTACAATTCAGTTATCACTGAGTAAAATTGTTCCTTTTTATGGAAAAAATGCAAGGCTGTTCATTTTAATGGAAAAAAATATTTTTGCAGTTTTTTCAAATCGTCAAAAAATCGTTACACTGAATGGGCATGCAGATTCGTCTCATAGAAAAAAAAATCCAGTCTCCTTTCTTTTTTTATAAAAAACTCACCATTTTTTCTCTCAAACTGACTGAATATTCTTGCCGATAGAAATTTCTCTCGTAACCACCACTTCACTTTCAACTATTTCAATCAAACTTCTTGATTACAAATAGCCGCCCCTCCTGATCGGCCCTGATATATAACCGAAACTTCCCCTCGCGAAAGAAGGGGCATCACCCACACGTTCTCAATGAAATCTCCGAGGGTGGGGAGGTTTGCGACAATCGCCCCCATTGGCGGCATATTCAATAAGCAGGTCCGGGATTGGCCGGTGTATTTTAGTTTTATTGATCGAGGCACCAGCGGGGCCCATCAATAATATACGCAGGACCGGATCGTTCGGGGAATACGTAGTTTTTTGGTGTTGTGACACGCGGAGACTACGTTCATTCGGGGGAGTCGAACAGATTGGAAGTCGGTAGTCGAATCATCGAAGTCTTTTCTTTGAAAGTCTTCTGAAACAGCGCCGATTTTGATGATTTTGTTTTTTAGCTACAAATGCCCACTTCGCTGAGTAATGTGTTACTTGTCCCTTTATTCACTCATATCTAATATTTTTTTGTATTCAAACATGTGTTTGTCACATTTTCTCGAAGTTTATAGAACACTCTAGAGAATTTTAAAATAATCAGAACTATTTTTAAGCCATTCAATAACTTTCTCAACATTTTTGAACTGGTCTAAAACAGTCTAGAACAGTTGAAACTACTTTTAAATGGTTTACTTAACAAATTAATTCAAATAGTAAAAAACAATTCAAAAATATTTTCCATAAATAAACCAACTCGGGAAACCACTTTTGGAATGAATTCGTATGGGTAAGCTTCCATCCAACTTGTAACCACTTTTTTATTATTTCTGAAAAGTTACTCAGAAAAATAATTGGTCGGTAGTTCTCAATATTAGTAGAATCGCCTTTTTATAAATTAATCTGACAAAAGCTATTTCAAGCTGTCAGAAATTGTTTCCAGTCCAGATGTCCTTTTCTCTGATGAACGTAAATTCTTATCAAGATGGAGATGTGAGTATATCCAGAGGTTTTTTTGGTAACTGATAACCCAGCAAGTTTGATCAGATCTATGTTTCTAAACAGTGCATACTGTCTAGTATTGGATTACAAGTGTTTTGTGACATGGTCGCCGCTGGTCTTCGTTATTCGAATGTGACTTGGCCTAGATCGTGCTGAACTTCAGACTAATACTCAAATGTCTATCATCTTATTAGCTCACTTCGTACCGTACTTTCAACTAGAATAGCCCCCATCTGCTTGTTGGTGGTGCTTATATCCCAATGGAAATCTTCGGAAGCCGATACAAATATTCTCGAAGTGACGTGACACCTAGAACGATTCAGAAGAGCAAGTAAAGTTTGTATGTCAGTGTAGTAGTGAAATGAGGTTGATTCAATTGTATGGTGTAATCAATTATTGTCGAACTCACAAGGAAAACGTAATAGTATAGAAGTCAAACATATTAACAGTTGCAGGAATATACATACTTGAAGCATACACATATGTATACCGCAATAAAACCAAATTGGCTGCCAACAGACCCTCAGATACCCATTTGACACGAAATGGCTACTTACTTCTACCCAGTCAACATCGAACTGCTCTCTACCAAAAAACTTTTGACTATCAGGGATGCAAACTCTGTAACAAACTTCCCGATGACATAAAGTTTCAGGGAATGTACATATTTTCAAGAGAAAAGTTAACCTACTCTTATTGTCAAAAAACTGCTACACTGTTGAGGAGTTTCAGCCGTAACTTTATTACCATGTGAAGTGTTCGGTTCATTTAATATACACCTTTATTATTTATACACACGTAGAATTAGTAACTTTGGTATATTTTATATTTATACTTTATATTATTTGTAATAATTGTTTGTGACGTGGATGTCCTATACACATCCAGAGACATTTAATCATTATAGTCATTTCATATGTATATACATTTTCACGAAATCAATTTTTCTCTTGTAATTAGCCTAGGAAATTTCACCCACTGACATTTGATACTGATGCAATTTATCCAGGAAATTAGACAGTTTCCCTAATATATTACACTTACATTACACTCTTCCTATACTGCAGGAACTGGACTATATATTTCCGTGCTAAAGTTGGGGCGCATCTAAAGGGATACCATTATTTCTCTTTGATTTTTTTTGCTGCCAAAATAACTCCACCTTCATAAGGTAAGATATGTCGATGAATCACGTAAATAGTTCCAATATAGAACTTTTATTATTCTAAGGAAATTGAAGGTCATTCATTCCGTAATCATTGGCATTTAGAGTGGTATATCAATATAAAAAAAATAGTCAACCATCATTAAATCAATTTTTCTCCTCCTTGGTCGCTTATCGACCCCGTAGAATGAAATACTTTACTGAACTAGATATTGATGAAGGTTTCTTTAGTGAAAAAGAAGTACATTCCATGCACGATCTTCACATTTTTTATAAATATTTTATTTCGAAATTAATTGCCAAAACCCATCTTTACCAAAAACTTATATCTTCTAAAAATTGAAACAGTATTGTTTCCAATGTGCACAGGAACTCTCGACGTTGTACATCAAACAGGAAGTTCCAACAATGTATGTGAACACAATTTGGTAATAATTTTACTTTGTGAGATAAGGTTTTGCTAATTCCGTTTGTGTGATAAGCTGTTCCAGGCATATACCCCTGAATGCTAATCCGCACCTAAAACGTGAATCTGTTATGGCGTAATGAACATTTTTAACAACTTGATACCATTCCTGGAGCAAAGCAACTCGATATTACTTTGTTATTAAGGGTCCCTAAATGTTCATCAAATTTTAGATGTGTCAAAGTTTATGTCTTATTCCTATTGACATTGTAGGCCGTAGATACAAAAGGATATCCTTGAAAGTTATATTTTTGTTTCATTTAACGTTCAACCAAATACAACAGATGATGATATTAGTAATACTAATAAATAGACAATGTATTCATCTTTTTCTTAAAACAATGAGACAAAATCCAGCTAGGAAAGCGAAGATGAAGTCATCACAAACAATTCTCACACATACCAGAACAATAACACTCTTGTCAAAACGTGTTTCTACAACTCAGCGTCATCAAAAAAGTTAGTTCATAGTTCATCTCCAAGTGTTGGGAAGGGTGTGGCAGTTTCAGACTGTAGAACCTTAAAACTGCTTCGACAAAATTTTTTACTTTGGAAAGGTTGCAAAGTTTGCCCATTAGTTAGTAGATTTTATAGGTGACTCCTCCCACATCAGAAGGCCTCACCACTCAGCTGAGTGAAGGCCCTACGATCCCGTTAATGATATGGTGCCTTCCCCAATCTCGAATCTTAAGATCAAACCGGCTTGCCTTAAAACTGCAGAAAGCTCAGTCGGACATAAGCGGAAGGTTGTAATTCTTGGTTGCTGATCGCTACTAAGGCACAAAATATTCCACCAAAGAGTACCTGATAACCCTTAAAATATTCAACCCGGACCGGACTGATGTACTAGTGAGAGCGACAGATTTTTCTAGTTATACAACATCAAACCGTTTGCCTTTTTTTGACTGACTCAGAGGCGATAGAATATTTGGTAAATTGACCGAGGATAGAGTTGGATGTATTCTGTAAAGTCATAAAGAGTTCGAATTTCTTTCTCTATAAAGTCCGTGACCAATAAAAAGTACAAATTAGATTGTTTCTGAAGGCAGACGCCCAAATTCTGAATGAACTCGGCTTGGTTGTGATAATGAGTATCGAAGTTCTTTGTAGGAGTCTCTATATTCTTGAATGTTGAGTTTATAACAGCTTCTCGTGAAGAGAGTTCTTGAAAAGACAAATGCAGAAACATGCAAGTATTCATTCGTTTTATCTCCTCAGGGTACATGATTAACGAATGCAAGTTTTTGAACAATGAAAAATTATTTTATTGTATTAGGGTGTTTCAAAAGTTTTTCCTTTTTTATGAGTATACTTTGAACTGTAGTATCTCAGTGATTACTCATTCATTTTGATAGAAATAAGCGCCATTTGATTCAATGCCTTTTTGCCAATGTAACACAAGTCGATTAATTCCGTCAGTATAATAATTGTGTGCTCGAGATTCGATGAAGTCAACTGAGGCCGTTTTCCTGGTCCTGATTGACGGGGGTTGTACCGTTGATAAAGTTATCGAAGTGTTTGAAAACATGGTAGTCGGTTGGCGAGAGGTCTTGGGAGTATGGTGGGTGAGGCTCAGTTCATGAGCGTCAGTGATTTGTGAAACGTGCGGACGGGCGTTGTCGTGGAGCTGGATCGGAACTTTTCTGTTGACCAGTGGCGGCTTCTGCTGATGCAATTTTCGGTACATTCCGTCGATTTTCTCATAATAGGACTCTACTGTGATGGTTTAGCACGGTTGCAGAAAGTTATAGTGAATCACACCAGCCGCTGACCACCATACCGTAACCATGGTCTCTTTTTTTCGTGTTTTTTTGTCTTTGGGAAGTACCTGGGTGGCTCAACTATGACCAATTACTGTATTGAACTTCTCCTGTTGTCGTAGGAAATCCACTTTTCATCTCACTTGACGATCAGATCCAAAAAAGGATATTTTCGGTTGCGCAAAAGAAAGAAAAGAACAGATCTCGAAACGTGACAATTTCTGTCGATGGTACAAATCGTGGGGCATTCACTTTTCAAGATACTGACCTTTCCAATACGTTTTAAATCATCAAAAATCGCATGAGAGCAGGCGCTCAGTTCTTCCGCCATCCCACGAACCTTTTGTGAAGGATCAGTCTTTACCAAGGTCCTCAAATTCTCGTTCTGGATAACTGTAGGTCAACCACTTTGGGGCTCATCTTCGAGGCTAAAATATCCGGAACGAAATTTAGCAAACCAACGTCGAACAGTGCCTTCATTAACACTATAATCGCCAAATGCTAGGTCAATTTGAATTCGTATCGAAACATTGGCAGGAAATCCCTTAACGACTTCATAGTAATAAGCTGAAAGACGCAAAAACGTAAAATCAAAAAAAAAATAAATGCTTTTGAAGCAGCCTAATACTTAACGAGGCTTTGCACCTTGCTGCATTTGCAAACTCTAGCCAATAGCCAATTCAGTA